CATACAATCCCATACAAGCCTAATACAACTTCCATAAATCTCCAGAGAAATTTAACCAAAAGTTAAACAGGACCTTATTTATGGATTTTGTAAAAACTCACCTATTCCTTGCGTCCTGATGATTTAAATGGTGCAGTTCGTCTAAGGTCCAGCAGATGGCGATCATTATCATTGTATTTGTGCATCGACAACACTGAGGCTGTGGTTTTCAGTGTTCACATAGTCCTTGAAGTTTAAAAAGTTTAAAACTCGCAAGCTCAAGTTAAATCCATTTCCATAAAGTGGTTATTTGTAATTGTCACTTTTCTTGGAATCTCCCTCAGTACAGCATTACATGTATTCATCTACACCTGAAACTCGCGAGTTACATCACTGTGCCAACTGAAAGGCCAAGTCTGCAAAGAATTTAGGTTTTTAAGCAGTGAAAACATTATATAATGAACACATTTTATACCATACTGATGTACTTTCCACGCAACTAAATCTCCATGGCTACAAGCTTATGGACCATATCAAACTTCTTTACTACTTTATCTTATTAAGTTGACTCTTTGCACAGTGGAAACAAAAGTCAAGATACAGGAAAAAATATATAAAAATGTTTGGACAGGAACAACTTAATTTTCTCCTTTAGTAGCTTTGCCAGTCCCTCTCTCTTTGGCATTAAGCAGGTCCATACTGTAGTCTCCATCACATCTGCGTAATTACAATCATGTACCAGTGTATGTGAAGAAGAGCCCAAGTGTTCTGAGAATAGCTCTGACAACTGAAACAGGCCAAATGAAGTCCTCTCTTTCAGACCCTTTGGTTCTTATTATGCACGAGCTATATCTCTGCGCCTGCCTTTGTGCTACTATAATTACTTAATCGGAGCGCTACTATGGCTGCACTACTCTGCTGTGGCTTTGAGTTGTGCTCCCAGAAGGGAATAGCGGCTGGCTTTAATTTTACTGCAAATGTGGTAATAGCCATCAAGTGAGATTCACATCTTGGGTTCTGCCAAATAAGCATTTTGTTTCTTTTTATTGGCTTCTGTAGTGCAGCATTTACAACTTTTTTTACAATAGCGCGATGCCGAATGATTTCCCCTCGTATTTGTTTTGTTTAGTATGGCTGCTGATCATTTGCCGTGTTGTGTGATTGTAAAATATGGTAAGATCTCAGTGGGCCGTATGTTTAAACGTGACACATAACCACAACAAAATATGTGCTTTTCCGACACAGGAACATAAATAGCCCGGGGCAAAAGTGCATTTTTTGAAGTGACAGCACCTGTGTCTTCACCAACAAGGCTTCCGACACAGCTGCATACACATTACCCACACAGATTCATACTTGTGGTTTGTTGACATTGATTTTCAGAACATATTTCAATGAATTATTCAACATGGCGTGCTAAAACATACCATTCAAGTAATTCACGTATTGCATGTATACCTTTATCGTTTACGTTTAAGATTAAAAGATCCTTTATTGGTCCTACAGTGGGGAAGTTTCAGTGTTGCATCTCAAGTTACAGACAGTAGGAAAAAGCAGCACACAGCAAAAGATAAAAGAATAATAACTCTATACTGAAATAATAACACAAAAAAATCTCAAAATTTAGCATAATAAAAGAAGCAGTCAAAAATCTCTAGCTTTAGCATAATAAGGAAACAAATCCAAAATCTCCAACTTTACCATAATGAAGAAGCAAGCATTAAGTACAAAATTTCTGACTTTTGCATAATAACAAAGTAAGAATTATCTATACAATAATATTCTAAATGTCTCACCTCTCGACACAACCGTATACAGTAGCACCAGTCAGTGTGAAAAATACATTCATCTTCATCTGTGTGTCTGCCAATAATGTAAAGAAATTCTGAATGATTATGAAAGGTTTTAGATGAATAAAAGCCAAATATACTAAAAGCTGAAAACAGATGAATAATCAATTCACGTGATGTTCCTCTTAAATGTCAGCCTTTCCTTCAGCAGTCGTGTGGGCCGGGCCTATCTCCAAGTGACTCATCGGCCTCTGCATAAATCTGGAAATCACAGACAATAATGGCCCCATTTGAAAAGCAAATAGTAATAATTCAGCAGAGATTTGAAGTGCTCTATTTAATGCAAAGGGTTTGAGAGACTTTCACCACTCTGTGCATATCAAGAACGTGCCTTCAGAAAAACCATCAAACTATTTAATCATTTCTTAAAACCCACTTTTATCCAATCGCCTTTCCTATAACTGTCTGTTTTGTTTTGTCTGTCGGCTTTGCAAACACTTTGAAAAGTCCCAAACAAAGAATTTTTTTTTTTTTTATTATTATAAAACTCAAAATTCATATTTTAAAAGAATAGGAATAGAAAATAGAAAATCCAGTACAATTTATATACAGCCAATCCAAGCACCAACCAGTCCAAGCTATAGATACAGTCCATTCGTATCACCACCAAGATACATATAAAATGATCGCAAAGAAGAAAAATGACATACATTTTTTTTTCTCATTTTTCTCATTTTTTATTTGAGCAATCTTAGTATGAATATGTTACATCATTATTCTGTATATATGTATGTAACAAATAAGCACATACATCAGTGCTGAGTGTAAACATCAATTAAATCTAACATTGAATGGTTAAATAAGAGAGACAATTATGTCTAACATGGTGAAAGCTGTTGAATGGTCACCCACCACGGCCTGTTTCCTGTGTCTGCATGATTATAGTACGAGTGCTCTATTCATAAACTCATTCAGTCCATTGTCGGCTCCTTCCTGTTACCTTAGCCATTTTATTGACCTCTCGGCTCAATGGGAACACACATGAGCTGCACAAAAAGGGTTTTCACTTTCTCCGCAGCACGTGTGAATCCACTTTGACGTTCTAAGAATACATGTGACTCACAGGATGCGATTATTGTAGATATTTAGAAAGATATAACAACTATTCAACACTGACTCATCGCTCAGTGTCGTCTTTCAGCACCTAATCGTCCTTTTTTCCCCTCAAAATGAAGTAACTTAAACATTAAGGCCCTGTTTATACTGAGACGCTGCGCAGACGTTTCCAGGCTATTAACAGAAACGACCTGGCTCCTAATGCAAATTTCTCAGCGTTCACATGAGGTTGAAAAACGATGTAGTTCTAGCGCCCGGCCAGTAGTGGGCAGATAAACTTTACAACACGACACACGACCCCGAGCCCCGTGCCCAGCCCCCCTCTCGGCAGTGTACTCACTTCCTGTGCCAGACCCTCAGAGAGTACCAACATCTATCTGCATTTTAACAGCAGCTGTGAACATGGGAACTGAACCTAGAGCTTCGTGTGGTCTCGTTTGGACGAACGAAGGAGTAGAATTATCCTCTGTCCCGCGCTGGAAGCCCACGTAGCTAGTTTGTGTGGGCGGCGCCATTGTTGTTGATGTTTGTTCTCCGCTACTGCGCATGTCCAAATGTACGTGCGGGGAGCAGCGCGGAGGTGGGGGTCAGAGCAGAGTGGGATTTCACACCTTTTCCCCTCTCGCGGGTGTGAAAAAGCTCCCTGCTGTGCAGCGTATCTGAGTTGTCCCACTCTGCAGGCTGGATCTGAACACTTACGTTTTCACCCCCCTGGAACACAGTCTTCGTATGAACGGTTGGTAGCAACCGACATCCAACTATACCGTTTTACTGCCACATTGTCTCCGTGTAAACTCAGCCTAAGATCTTCTGTTCTTCATTGCAAACATTACTCACACATTACACTACTATCAAGTATTAGAACAGTAGCTTTTGCCAGCTTTTAAAGTGTAAAGTGTTACAATTTCTCTTCTACCAAACACAAAATTGTCAAAAAGTTGATCAGTGCTTTTAGTCTACAGTTAGATACTTATGATACATCTAAAATTAGTTGTAGTAGATTAATACACTTCTTCATATATTTTCAGTGTGCAAAACCAGCTTATAACATTTCAATCTGAAGAGACCAAAGACACAATTAATACAATAACATTATTTATTTGTTTGGCGCATTGACCCCCGGCAGTGGCACTTGCAGCGATGAGATCGATTGCAGCTGAAGATGATCTCAGATCCCCCGGGGTCAAGCCCTGGTGGTGGCTAGAGTATGGTGTGAATGGGGCGTAGGCGGAGCAGGAGCCAGAGCAGGAGCCTAGAGCCAGATCCAGAGCAGGAGCCAGAGGGGGTGCTGGGGAGGTGGTGGGTGTTTAAGAGCCTCAGGAAGCGTTGCTTGTCAGGAAGCTGCTGCCTTTTAAACTGCCCGCTTTGTTGTGAGAGGGTTGGCAGGAGGCTGGCCAGGCTGTGTGATTGGCTGAGGCTCAGGGCTGGCAGAGCTGTGTGATTGGCTGAGGCTCGAGGCTGGCAGAGCTGTGTGATTGGCTGAGGCTCGAGGCTGGCAGAGCTGTGTGATTTGCAGGTTTGGACGGTGGAATTTGCACTCGGTCTTTCAGTCTGAATATCCGCTTCAGCTTCATATAACTAATAATAGATATAACTTATACAGCTAACACAAAGTTAAGTCAAAGCTGGGGAACCAAACTTCTTTCCTTCAAGAATAGTGCATAATGTTAATCATGAAATAGAGCCAATCATTATGAACTAATGAGATTGCAATGTGTCTTTGTAAAATTAGAAAAAAGTCAAGTTAAATTAAGAGTATATATGATTTTGTTGGGCAGAAAGCTGATTGGCTGAACAAAAGTGGTCATTCTATTTCACTTTCCCTTCTAACAAAGCTGGAATAGAGGCCAAAAGATAAACATGCATGCAAAAAGTAATGCATCAAACTGGTTCGAGTAGTTTTTGAGGTTTGAAAATTAGGTACCCCAGCTTTAATGCGATGTACTTGGGTTGTAATGATGCTTCTATAATGTCTTGGTTTAATCCCCGTGAGAAGTCATTCCTAGACTCCACTCAGAAACCGCAGTGCAAACATTGTGTCCATAACCCTCTGTTTGGGAACCTCCTTTGTGTTTGCATGTGTGTGAGTCAGTTGTGTGGTTTGTGTTGTCACAGATCTTCCGGAGGTGTTGGCTCGTGTTCAAAAAAGCTTCGAGTAAAGGGCCGCGGCGGTTGGAGAAGTACCCAGATGAGAAGGCGGCCTACTTTAGGAGCTTTCACAAGGTAACTGCTCCTGACAATACACACGCACACACGCACGCACGCACACACACACGCACAGACACACACACACACACACAAACACACATACAGCTTTCTAATAATACATAGGATATTACATAGATACATTACATAAGAACTCCGTTGCTTTTCAAATTGTGAAGGTGAAGAGACTTTGTTTCAACTTGAGATCCCAAGCCAAGAAGAGACTCAATACAATATAGTTTAATAATGTCATTATTCTTTCACTCGATATATGGTGATGATAAACTACTATTGTAGCCACAGCTGCCCTGGGGCACACTGACAGAAGCGAGAAAACCAGCATACAATACAATACAATTTATTCTTGTATATACCTAAATCAAACTCAGAGGACTTACCAACACAGATCAGAGAATCAACAGTTAAAACACAGATTGATAAATGTCCATACATGTTGTAGAATGTTAAAGTGTCCTGGATCATCACCACAGTCCTTCTAGTTGGACACTAACTGTCCAACAGACCCTCCTGTATCGGCAAGGAAAAACTCACAAAAACCCAGTGGGAAAAAAGTGAGAAACCTCGAGGAGACCCACATTTTGAGAGAGGGATCTGCTCCACATGGACGAACGGGCTTTAGATCCAGGACCTAAGCTACAGAACGTGGATCAGCGGCCTCTGAACGTGGACAGGTGCAGGACTAAAGTGGACAGGTGCAGGACTAAATCACTCCCAGACGGGTCAGGCAGACAAACAGACAATGGGAGAACGGGTGAAAAGCAAAGAACAAACTACAGTCAAAATCCTAATAAGGCTAAACGGATAAAGTAGGAAGGAGGAGAGGATAGTGCCATCGGCCTCTCCGACCACCACCACACACCAGACTCATTCATGGTGAACTGCTGACCCAACAAGATAAAGATTACTGAAAAGTACGATGTAAAGGCTGAACAGAAAATCCCTCGTAGAGCACCGACCTCTGAGGTAATGTGCCGTTCCTTTAAAAAAATCCTGCATTAAAGTGGTAATGTGGATCACGTCCCAATTGTAATAACTGAACCATTAGGCAAATTTCCTGAAAATGTTCAAAACATCCAATCTGATTAGTTTTTTGATTATGTTTCTCACAGACAAACAAACAAACAAACGCTGGTGATCACTTATATTCACTATAAAACAACAAGAAATATGTTTGTCCTAAAATGCAAGCTTGGCCAGTTTTTTTATTCACCCCAACAATTTCCCCATATGTACATTTTGAAGCTATCAGCAATTTCAGTTAATTGCATAAACTCAATAATGATTTTCTGCTGACAAACATGAAGAACCAAGTGTTTTTGTGGTTATATTCAAACGCAATGCTTCCATGTCGCCTCAAAACAAAACTCAAAAGATCAAGCGAGGTTACATTTTAAAAACAACTGTATAACACTAAAAAACACAACTCATTTTGATTTTGTGCTGATAGCTTTCAGCTTCAGGCCCACACAAAAACCAAAGTTCAAAAAGTATAATTCAGTTATAAATAATAAAACTTGAGTAAATGAGATAATATTGTCTCTCTCTCTCTCTGTTCAAAAACTCAATTGAAGTAAATATAATGTGAGTATAGTCGGTTAGGGCAAAGCTGCGCACACATATAATAATAGCTTCCTTCTTTGTATCAGAGCTGCTGTCTGCTTGTCTCAGATGGCGTTTAAAGTCCATTAAGACACATTTGGTAACTTTATCTATTCCTCAGAGGCCCTTTTCCCTTTGCTTTAAGAGGCAATAATCCTGCATATGATATCTCTCTCCACCTCTGAACGCTTTGAAATTCTCCAATTATAGTTCATTACAGCGGAGGAGCTGGTGTTAAAGGAGTAGAGGCGACCTAACAGCGGATAACAAGCAGCTCCTGCACTGAGAGCTGACTTAGAGCTCTGTAAGAAAGTGTCTATGCGAGCGGCACATGAAAGTCTATAACTGCGGCGAGTCCACGTACGGCTGTGCGAGTAATCTGGCGTTCTCAAAAATATATGATTTAGAAAAGGTGCTATGCTGCTTCATTTGACGGTTATTTTGCCTGGATTATTAGTTTCCAACATTCTTCTACAAATCAGATAAAGTGCTTACTATTACTAGTGAATGCACCTGTATATATGCCACAAAAGTTTTAAGTAAGTTTAAATTTAAAGTAAATGTTGTCCATATACTTTATTGGCTGCACATCAGGGTGTAGCTGGTAATGGCACAAAACAACTCACTGTTGACTTGTGACGATCAAAGCACCCAGGTATATCCATGCAATTTTGTCAACAATATTCCGGATAAAACGATGGCCATAAACTCTGCTCTGGCTACAGCGCATACATAAAAACATATCCTGTACATTTGCCTCCACCTCCTTATATCACTTCTCTCTACTGTTCACATAAACACACTGGGAAGCAGGAGTGGGTGCGACGTCATCAGCTGTGTCCAAATCCCCTCCAACACCCCAAGGGCGCTCTAACGGAATAAAAGTACACACATTGGCCGCAACGCTATAGAGTATAGAGATCTTGAAAAAAGGCTCACATTCCAGCAAAGCACTGTAACATCAATATTATAGTAGTAAAACTGTAAAAACTATTTATGCGTAACATCACAGAAATATTCAGCGTAAAATAAAACAGTATTGATTAAATAAAAACATATTTTTTTCTCCATACAATTGTGTAATTGAGTCATTTAAATATAAAAAAAATTGTGGAAAAATTGCGTTCTTGTTTGTGTTTTGTTCTGGACATATGTGTGTTTATGTTATGTTTATGTTATGTTTTTTGAAAAAAAAAACAACATTGGTAAACATTTGACTGAGGAATCATTGACCGATTATTCAACTAAATAACTAAAGACGGACAGTCGTACCAAAAACATAATAATATATACATTTGCAGTCGCCCAGTTCTGTCCATGTGCAGTTGTGTGGATGCTGAAGCCCGTGGTTAGTGTTACAGTAGCAGCAGCTGTGTGTTGCGCCCCTCCTTACTACATCATGCTGTCACGCGGGGCGTCCTGTGCGGTGGCTCCGGTCCCGGGGGCACCTTGTACACCCGTTCTGCGGAGCCTGAGCGATGAGCGCACACATGCACCACTGCACCTGATAATACATCGCCACAAAGATCAAGAAAAGGTCCCAACTAAGGGCTACACTCAATGCCGCTGTGCTTCTCAGCCTGCACCGGTTGCTGCTATACACAAAGGAATTGGCCCCTATTTTTAGTTTTAAATCGTCACGTTTGTTTTGTTTTTTTCATCTTCTGGAATTTTTTTGCATTGTGCCATTGTCCGAGAGGCATTGGTCCACGTGAGAATATTTTTATCCCTGGGATAAGTTGTTTTCCAGTGCGCTACATTGCCTTCTTGCTGACAGTGGAAGCTATAGTCTAATATATGTGCATACAGAGGGTGTAAATAAGCCACACAGAAAAGAGACGTAACCCTTTTTTATATACAATTATCTGACGCCGGAAACAGATTAAAGCGAACGGCAATGAAGAATCTGGCTCTTTATAAATGACTCTCTTTTCATGGTCTCTTGCCTCAGGCGCCAGAGGAAGCTTGAGCCACACAAGCTTTAAAATACAGAAGCCAAGGCACAACTAAGAAGCTGCTACAAAGCGCCATCCTGGTTAAATGTATGATATTTCAGCCCGAGGACAAATCACATCATCTTTGATAATTCAGTCTTATATTTTGAAGTCCTCCATCTGCTTATGTCTCACAATAAGCACTGGGGCAGCGCTTTTTTTTTTCTTTGCATTGATGTTTTGTGTTTCTGTTGTCAAAATGAGATGTACATTTAGCCACTGATACAAGAAGCTGTGGTATCTTGTCACATTAAAAGCAGTTTACTGGGCGTTAGGGTAGCATATGGGGCTCTTTAAAGCTGGGGTACCTAACTTTCAAAGCACAGAAATCCATCTATCGAGTTCCTTCAGTGTGTTTCATGCTTTTCACACTTAACTTTCTGACTCTGACTCATCTTTAGATCAACTTTTTCAGACAGAACCGTGATAAAAACAAGACCAGCCTCAGCCCTAGGCATCGAACAGTGACTCAAAGGGCTGTTTCATACAAGTCTGCAACAAAGTATTTCTAATCAGATGACGACAGCATGTTGGGGTCTCACTTGTTCTCAAAATTTTACTTTTACAAGACTTTCTGTTGGGACAAACAACATGTATTATTTATGAAAATGTATGTCCTGCTCCATTATTGTTAGCTACTTTAGAATGATTTATTTATTTGTTTTGTTTGCATGGATGGATGTGTTTCCGCTGCAACTGGAGACCTGGATTTCTCTTACGGGGGATAAATAAAGTATCTATCTATCTCAATATGTTCTCCAACTTTAAATGAGTCAGTCAAACTATCCACCAGCTGTGATTTTTGTGTTGCTTACATACTGTATATATTTTGAATTAAAGATGCAGTCAGTGATTTTTTCCAGATGCATTTTTTCTAAATATTGTGGGAAAACGTCCCTAAACCCTAAAAGTAGTCAAGTTATCATGGATTTGACCAGATGCCTATAGTCTCTAAAAATTAATAAAACATATTTTGGAGCAGACCGATGAAAATAAACCAATGGGATTTGTTCATCCCCAACGAACCAATGGGATGCGTTTACTCCCCACCCTCTTCCTGTTTCTCGCAAGTGCAGTCTCTGGTGCGTGCACCCGATTTATCATATTTTCTAATGCCATTAGAAAATGCCATTTTCATGTTTCCCACCCGCTCTCCCTGTTATGACAAACAAAAGAAAGTGCTGGATGTTTGGTTTGGTGGCGAGGCGAGGGGAGAGGGGGGAGTGGTTTCGAGTTGGTGCTACGGCTAAGCTAACAAAATCGCTTGCTGCACGTAAAGTAAATATTTATATATATGTATATCAAAGTAACCAGTGCCTGAATGGAGGAGTCTCATTGTTTCAGGGAAAGGATTCGCTGCCCTCATGTTGTATGTTTATGAGGTCCTCTCCTTTAACCTCTAACACTGGAGCTGTAGTATTCGGGCATCGCTCCAAGTTAATTCATTCCCAACAGCCTGGCAGAGATCCCGCGGCTAGCACACAATGGACTACAATAATGTAATGGGCCTTATCTCCCGGGCAGAGCGAACACACCCACGACTGCTCGACAAGATGGCCTGTAAATGTGGGTGATATTCAATTATATATAATCTTTTCTTTTTTCTATTGCCAATCAATCCGCTGCTTAAGTGATTTAGATGCTTTTGATTGCACTGCGCCTGATCGACTGAAGGGGCTGTCTCAAGCAGAGTCATTTGATCATGGCATGGGTATATTCGTCAGCTCTGTCTGTCTGCTGAAACCTAAAAGGAAATAATGTTAGAGTCAGGTGTTGATATAAACATTTGTGAGGAACTTTCTCCATGCAAAATATGTATTAGTAATTTGAATTGGTAAATTGTATGGATATGAAATACTGTTGCCATATTGAAACCCATAGGAGCATTAGATAGATAGATATTGCAGAGACATGTGCAAAATTTTAGTTTTTTATCCACGCTAATATCAGAGAGTAAGTAAGTGATCTTTATTTATTTAGCGCATTCACAGTCCAGGTTCACACAAAGCACTTTACAATTTTTGGAAGTTCAACTAACACTTAACTCCACCTCCCCCTTTGCTTCAAATGAGTCCCTCAACTACTGCATCATGCTCAGAACCCGTCTTTTCAATAGTGTTTCAATTTAGATTTGGCAATGTCGTTGGTGATATGAAAATAATATATATATATATATATATATATATTCATTCAACATGCCATTTTGGTGGCAGAAGTGAAAATACATGCTGAGATCATTTTTGTTTAGCCTTTATACATACTGTATATCCATTCATGTTCTTCTTCTAAATTTCACCTTCTAAACAGTTTGTTGTCTGTTTTATTTCTTGTGTTTGAACTATATGATTCTCTGATCTGTGTTGGCGAATTCAACGGTTGTATAAAGTCCTCCGAGATAACTACTTTTCTGATTTATACAAGAATACATTGAATTGAAATAAGAAAAAAGTCAATTCTCACGATCATGTTTAAAGGCCAAAGGAAGTGGGCTCTTGGCAAAAGAGATTTCACGCATAGATAACTTGTAAGTGTCACTTTCCAACATCCCCCTGCACGTTACTCAAAGGACAAAAGCACAAAAGTAATCTCTAACTCTTGCCTTTGCCCCTATACAAGTCCTATTATGCAAATGTGTGTGTTTTGGTGCACGATTCACCCGGCGCTGCTCCCTGCTCCGTCGCTCTAATGCTGCTGTCACTGCGTTCACAGATCACCGAGCTCCACAACATCAAAAACATCAGCCGAATGCCACGAGAGACAAAGAAGCATGCGGTCGCCATTATCTTCTGCGACGACACCTCCAAGACATTCGCTTGTGAATCCGGTACGTGTATTCTTTCAGATAGAAACATTTGCTGCATCTCGTATCGTGTATGCAGGGCGCTTGTGAAAAGTTTGGTAAGTATTTTGTAAGAAGCGAAAGGTCAGAGCAGTGGAGACAAGCAGAAAACGGAAGAGAGCTGGAGATTTGCCAAGTCATTTGTGTTGAGAAGTAGAAGGAGAGGTTTCTGAATATCGATTTCTGAGCCGCAGGTATGGAAAACAATATTAGGGGTAATTTGCAGTGTTTTTCAGACCGATTATGCTGTGTAACACAATGGATTGCTGTTAATGTGTGAAATAGGTTGTGTTCACGTGACATCACATTCCAAAGAGCTATAGTTTAACGTTGTGGTGAAAGGCAGTTGAGAAATCTTTCCTGGTAACTATGGTACTTGTCAAAATTTCTAGTCTGTCACATTTCTTGTCTTAATTTAGAGCTAATTTCTCCGTAATCCCACATGCAACTTAAACTGTCAGAAAGTGACACATCTTCCTTTTCACTGCTTATCGACTCGGGTCTTGTTAGTGGTGACACGATTCAAAGACATATCTATGTTGGTGGCCAGTAGAAAGAACTTACAGACATAGGAACAGACATAGAAAATTCAAATTCAATTCAAATAACTTTATTTATCTGTGAGGAACTTCATTTGCAGACGGGGCACCAGTGGGAATACATAAAACATAAGATATAAAATACAAATACAAACAAGTGGGCTCCATGGGCTTCCTCGTATCAAATAATGACCTGCAGAAACATTGGACATTTTCTTTTTCCAAATTGTTTTAAAAAATGGCTTCTTTCTCATAGAGTCCAATCCAATCCAAATAGTTTATTTATAAAGCACTAATAAAAACAACATGGTTGACCAAAGTGCTGTACATAAAAACACATACACAAATATACAAATACAAAATGCAAAACAGTGGCAAAAAGACAAAACACTATTTACGGCAACAACAAAAAATCTATTGAAAATCAATTAAACGCCAGTGAGAAAAAATGTGTCTTAAGACGAGACTTAAAAACAGGAAGTGACTCAGACAGTCTAACACACAGGGGCAGCTCATTCCACAATAGTGGTATCAGAAGCTGGACTCTTACTGTAAAAGAATTGTAGAACATGAACGCAACCTATGGAAGTTTCTTATGCAGGTGCAGTTCCATAAATAACAGCAAAGAGCTTCTTAAATGTAGATTTTTTGTTCTTTTCTCACCGGTACCATATGGACACCGTGACCTCCTGGAGTCCTTTACATCCGGCAACACCATCTTTTACACCAGTCATTCACCACTGCTCTGCTGGGAATTCACACTAAGCACCTACTGTATACACAAGCACAACGCACACACGCCTTTGGAACACGCCCTTTTGTGAACATTACGGAGAGGAAATGTTTTGTTGGGGTAGATTGGATAATTCAATTTGAGAAAGAAATTGTATTCCATCTGCTACAAACTTGGCAAGTTCTAAAGTATGAGCAAAAAATATAAAAGTTATACTGTGATATAATAATACCAGCATGTTGTATAAATGTATATGAATAAATAAGCTAGCAACAAAGCAATCAATTAAATCCTTACAAGAAGTCAATACGCTCTCATTTCTTACGTATTTCTTCATCCATCATCCTCTCCAATTAAAGCTTGGGTACCTATTTTTTCTCCCCTATAATTTATACATGTTTGTTTGTCCCAATAGAAAGAGTCTTGTGTGAGTAAAGTGCTTTCTTCATCATATTAGATAACCAGTGATTGTTAGCATACTTGTAAGAAAGAGCCCTGTGAATCACTATTGGATGCTTTGGGGCTTAGTGAGAAAAAAATAAATTAAAGATGTGAAAGAGGCGAAATACATGTATGTGAAAAGTTGTGACAGAACCAAATTGTTTTGAGAGCAAGGAACTAGTGCGACAGATTTGACTACATAATATATACATAAGTATTTGTGCCCAGCAGGTGACAGTGAAAAACAATATATTTTTATATTTTGCTTAATTTGTTATCCCTGAAAAGCATAACGGTAGCCAAATATTGACTCTCACACATATCACACACACATTAGCATTGTATTATTTATTCATTATATGTTTATTTGATAGAACAAAAAGCATTGTTTCAAGTAACTGATGCCATGTTCATAAAGCCATATTTACATAACAGCTAATTTGCAGACCTGGTCCTTAAGACATAAAAATACATCACAATATATACACACTTTGTATATTGTTGTTCCCACACTGTGATGAGCAGATGCTATATGAGTCAATCCGAGCGTATCAAAGAGCGCATCAACCGAGTGCATCAACCGAGTGCATCAACCGAGTGCAAACCAATAAAAACCTGTCGGGGACCTATTTCGGTGTTGCGTAACCACGGAGACCAACCTCAAGCTTGTCTCCTTCTCAATTGTCACATTTCTCTGTCACTCCAGACTCGCATCCTGCTCCACGGCTCACCTCCGCACTCAAAAAAAGGAAAGAAAAAAAAAACAGCCTCCTACCACATTTCCACATCCTTGCTTGTATGTTTGTGTATATAGCAGCTTTTCCCCTCCCTGGCCTTAAAGATGTGGGAGTTTACAGCCACTTAAATGCAAAAGTATACTCGGAATAAGCTGGGCTGAATCCTGCGAGCTTTGCACCGGCTGCTAAAAGTGCAATGCAGTTTCTACAGCCTCCAAGTTGGTATAAGCACATCCTCCACATTCCCTGTGTTTTCTTGGAGTTGCTTCAGGCGCCAACAGACCTTTCCCTCACCCTTCAAAGTTGTAAGCAGTTCTCCCATTGGACAGGGGGAGTTGATTCGACAAACAAGCTGTCTATTAGGAAAAGTGAAAATCCATCGGCTCACATCAAACCTGCGGGAGTGTGGTGACAGCTGATTAATATAACTGGGATTGCTGCTGTCTTTTTGATATCGTATATACAGGACTCGCCATAGCGCCACACCGGGTTGTTCCGCGAGAGTTTGGCGCAAACGAGCTCGGAGAAGATAAACAACTCCGGCGCTCGGCTCATTTCATACTTCAGTGACTTTTAGCAGGAGCTTACAGAAGACAACTGGAAATATGATTCATTGTAAACAGAGTGACTTAACAAAAACAACTTTCGCAGCACAAAAGAAGCTGAGAACGTCATTTGGTCATAAAACCGGGCTGTTTGTGTGACGGACAGAATGGTACATTGTGTTAAATGGCGGCGGTGAGTGATCATTGGGGTCACTGGGATTGATTTACAAATCCTTTTGGTTTCTTGGAATATTTGTCATGAATGTAGAACAAAGGGAGAACTCAAATGCAAAAATACAAGATTTAATAGACAAAAATAACAAAGATCCAGGACTCCAAACAGAACTCCCTCTAAAATCAAGCCTCACAATACAATGGGCCGACAACAAGAGGAGAGGAGCACAGGGACACACGGGTGAATCACATGAGGGTGACGCAGGCAATCAACAAAATGGTCGGCAAGGAACAACTCGAAAACCCAGTGGGAGGTGAGGAACCTGGTGAGGCCCACATTGAGTGGACTATAGATCCAAGAACTGCTGTTGTTTAACTGCTTGAGCCGTATTCTAGCGTATAAATCGCATAAATATCATTACTGATGTAAACGACCATAGTTCAATACATAGTCTGCCTGACGATACTTTCATGTATTGGATTCATTTAATTGGGACAAGTTTGTTTCATGAGTTCATGTTTGCCCTTCCAGGTAACTCCCCAAAGGATTCAGCACAGTAAAATATGATCGTGATTTTGAGTCAAACCTATTGTAACTATAAATGTTTTTGTAATTATGTTCATTAATGCTTGTATTATTGGGTTATACAGCATTATAGTATATTATATATGTATGTGAGCCATGAGTTATTATATAAAACTTCTGTTCTGTTTTGACGGCCATTTCTGTTGTGTGAAAGTCACTCTCTGATCAAAAAGGTTGGGGACCCCTGCCTTAAAGCCTTAAAGATGTTATCAGATGACTACCAGATGTTGCCCCATAATCAAGAACGCTTCATCATACTTGTATTCATTAAAAAGTTAGTTGATAAAAATACTTAAACTCACATCTCCAACGAGCTCACAATGTACTTGGTTTAATGGCATCATTACTGTTCTGCATGGATCAATCAGTTTTTATCATTTATTCCTTGAAAATGCATGTGCGTATCTCTGCAGGTGAAAGAATATTTTAAAGATTCACAAATGAGTTAATACAGTGTCAAATTGAGCTATTCTTCTTCAAACCACAGCTCTGTTCTCCGCCTGTTGTGGTCCCCCTTTCGTCTCTGTAATAATCTAACCATTCCTTATATTCTTTACGCTGTATTGTTCATGACACCTGTTTGTTTGACTGTTTGTAGATTATCATGTTTGACTGTATTGGCTTTGCTTGGTTTACCAGGAGAAGCACAGACAGCTTAGCACCCTGTGGTCTGCGGTCCACAAACATGTATCTGCGCCGGATCGATATCATTGATTCCCTTCGTCCAGTCACGATTAACTCTTGTCCAGAGCATGAGGCTTTTTATTGTGACACATATATGGGCAGCCCGTACACCACATTAGCCTGGTTTAAAGCCCAGTAAAATGTTGACAGTGCATTTAAACGTGTGTATGTGTATGTGTGTGTGCGTGTGCGTGTGTGTCTGTGTGTCTATTCCTGTGTTGTGTGTTGGTCAGAGCTGGACGCGGAGGAGTGGTGCAAGCTGCTGTGTGTGGAGTGCCTGGGCATCCGCCTGAACGACATCAGCCTGGGGGAGCCGGACCTGTTAGCAGCGGGGGTGCAGCGAGAGCAGAGCGGTGAGCACAATTAGTCCCTGTGTACGCAAACATACACGTACGTTTGCACACATACACACACGTGGACACGCTTACACACATGTCAGGTTTTCATGCTTAGAGGGGACATTACGTTTATTTCCACAAAACTGATCTTAACTTTAAAGAATAGAGAGTAATTGTGTATGTTGTTTAGGGATGAAATTGAATTTTTCTTCCTCCCATTCCTTTTCGAGTTTTACGTAATAATGTTCAATAATGTATTAAGTAGTTGTAATGAATGCTAGAAAATTCTATGTGGTGACATTTGATAATCAACTCAAGTCAAATATATGATGGGAATTATTATACATTTTTAACATCTGATCAAACATATTAAAGGCAAGTTCGTTTTCAACCCTGTCATTTTTATTTGCACCTGCCCCCCAACATCACTTAGAATATTGTATATATTTTTTTCATTCAAAACCAACACACTCATGTAAAATTGCTGAATCTTCTATTGTTTTAGATTATAACATTCTGGGCGGCATGGTGGCTCAGTGGTTAGCTCACGGAAAAAGGTGCTGGGCCGGGAGTTTGCATATTCTCCCTGTGTTTGTTTGGTTTTCCTCTGGGTACTTCGGTTTCCCCGACCACTAAAACATGAACAATAGATCCTCCTATACGGCCTCTTCCATCACTGAGTGGAGTGAGAGGAAAGTGCTTTGTGACTCTCAGTCTGTGTAAATAAAGTTGACTTACTTATCACACAGAAAGTAAAGAACAGGGTGCCAAAATGAGTCATTCTGAGTACAACTTTGAGCATGAAATGACAAAGGGAAACAATTATGACAGGCTTAAAAGCTCTTCAAAGTCAATTTTACATAATACGCTTTTGGCATCTTATAGCATAATGAATACATGCCAAAACAGAAAAGAAACATCAAACATTGCATCTGTTTTTTAGAGATTTATTGCGATAATAATAAAAAGACATGTCCTTATTCTACTTTATATGAGAATGAGGTAGGAGTTTGTGAGATTTTGTTTTCTTCATCCTACTCCTGTTCTTTTTTCATGGATCTTTTTTTACTGTCGTACTTTCTGGATTGTTGTGGTATTTTGTTGTTTTACCATGAAAAGATTGAGCAAATGAGCAATCAATCAACTTTTATTTGGAGAGTATCTTTACTACACAAGGCAACTCAAAGCGCCTCACAACCCATATCACATCAGGCATAAATAATAAAAATGATCATCTACATAAGCGATAAGATTTTTAGAATGATCAATTTTATGTTTTATTTTTGCTGCTTCTGGACACCTGAATTTCTCCTACGGGGGATCAATAAAGTATCTATCCATCTATATCTATTAAAAATACTATTAAAATCACGCAGGTCATTAAAAACACAATAAGATCACAATTAATATTAAAAACATAAAAAAACAACATTGTTATAACTAAAAATATCAAAACATTAAAATTACACATGGGATTAAAATCATAAATAGCCACAGTGCATTAAACAGAGAAAAGACACAATCCTTCAGTTGTACAGTAGCACAGGACTAAGGACGTTACGAGGTGCCCTTACGAATGCCTGCCCACACTTGCCCACTGTCTTTCAGGGTCAAACTCTCTCCCTCCCTCCGCCTCCGAACAGTTAGCACTCCATGTGTGACTGTATCGCCAAGCGCTCCAAGCCTTCAGAGGAAAAAAAAAAAAAAAAAACACATGCTGTCCAATTACGTTGTGGAAATATGGGACATTTTTGTCAATAACTGCTGCAAAGCCCCATTGTACGCGCAGGGCTGTGTGTGTGTCACAGGTCAGGGTCTGGCCGGGCCCCGTCCCAGTCGCTAATGAGAAGTGCTGTGCATCACTTGCTCCACACATAATGAAGCTTGTCATGGAGATGGATGAGATTATGGCTCCAAAAGCTGTGTGAAATAAATGTGTTTTGCCGCGGATTCCTCTCAAAGGAAATGGGAGAGGAGGGGGGGAAAAGCAGGCCGGATAGACAACACGAGGTTATGTCAGTAAAAGAGGGCAGTGTAATTTGTGTGGCCGCTAAGGAAATCGAAAAAATCAACAGGCTGCGAAAAGTGGTTACGATTGTAAAAGGGCGAATCATTGAAAAGAACAGCTATTTCATTTTTCTCCAGTGTGAAAGTCAGCTCAAATTAGAAAACAAACTCAGATTTATTTCTCATTCTACCCACGGGGAATACTTTTGTGCCACTTCAATTTCACTGTTGCTCTAAATAACACTACAGAAAACAACCCCTCGTATAGCGTATAGATCGGCGTTCGTTATGTTTGGTTTTCATGACATCATTAGTTGCCTCTCCAAAACAGCAGGGAGCAATAAGTAGACCAAGACGAGTTAATTTCAGCCTTCTTAAAATACACCCACAAGAGCGTTGCTAATTATGACCAGACTACAGCAGAATTGGAATCTTTCACTCAGACCCGCTGTGAGGTAGGAGCGCTAAATACGCTTCTACCAGCCGTGGCTTTATTTGGATTCATTAAACATAATTAGTTTGAAATCATTGTGAGACGCTCAGTGTGTGCACCTCTCCTCTTCTTTCCAACTGCCGCTCTGAGTTAGCGCAAAGTGAATAAGCAGAGAGTAGCCCTTGATGCCCGTCCAGCTCACTGCCTGCAGATCTTGTTACGTGGATTTTAGGCAAATTAGTATTGAAAAGTTTGGCTTCAGTTGACTTTGCAGCAGAGACAAACGTTTACGCAGGAAAGGTGAGTGGGTAAAGATATTTAGCAAATGTGATGGGGTTTTGTTGGCGTTCATTTTGCATGATCTTGAGAAAGTTTACTTCCACTTGGCATGTCATGGTTAAGTAGACTACATATAGACAGTTACACTTGTAGAATGGACACAGAAAGGATCAGAGGAGTAAAACTTCACCATCTATAGGGAGCAGCGGGAAATGTTATCCTGCCATTGTCCCAAAGATCGAACGAGGCATGCTGTAATTGAAGGAAACTTTCTCCCAAAAACAGTTTGGTTCGATCACTAGTTTTCTGATGCATGCATTTTTATTTATTTTTTTAACAGAAAAGTGAATGAGTGGATCATCCTCTGTCAACCCCAAGTGTCAAATAGGGACTCACAATTTTTGTTCATACAAATATGCAAAAGATACAATTTATTTGTGTATAGCCCTAAATCACAACAGCTGCTGCCTCGTAAGGTTTTGATTCACCAACAACAGGTCGAACACGTGAAATGCAATAAGAACAAACACATAGGAACCATTGGTCCGTTGGGAGCGGGATTACCAAATGTTAATCAATGTTAATATATGTTAATAAATGTTCTTAAATGTCCTGGATTACCACAAAAAAATCCCAGTGGGACAATATGACAGTATGTTTTAGTCTAATGTGTTCACATTATATATGACTCTTTCTTTTGGGACAAAGAAGAACTTAACATTTCTTAACTTTAAAGCTAAGTTAACCTTAGTTTTAATGGTTTAACAATTCATACATAATATAGTATAATTTTGAGAGTATTTAGTTACGTGTTTGTGCAAGAAGTAGATAAAAACAACTCCAGGTATGGCTATAATTGATGAGGCAACAATCTTGTCACACGATTTGTGTGTCCTGTTCATGAATTAAACCAATACAGATAATGTGATAATGATTTGGTTTCAGTTCGAGCTCTACACTTAGTAGTTCAAACAAAACTCTGCAACAATCTGTCTACGCCTCTTTCCCGACAAAAGAGTCTGCTAAAGAACGCTTTGGACTAAACTGTCTGTTTACCACTGAATGTAAATGAGCTGAAGTGTTGTTTTTAAATGAACCCATCCTTTCTCTACCGCCATTTTGGTGAGACGTGACAAGCAAAGCAAATCCGCATTATTCTGTTTTTGGCATTTCGTTCTGTTGTTATACAATTTTTTAACAAGCTACTGCTGTTGTGACTCTTTCCAGAACGCTTCAATGTTTACCTAATGCCCACTCCCAACCTGGATATCTACGGCGAGTGCACCATGCAGATCACCCACGAGAACATCTACCTTTGGGACATCCACAACCCGCGCCTCAAGCTGGTCATGTGGCCTCTGAGCTCCCTGCGGCGATACGGTCGAGACTCCACCTGGTTCACCTTTGAGTCCGGAAGGTACTGTATGGGCCAGCCAATCACGGAACGTCTTTATTGTGTTGTATCTGCTTAGACTGCTGCCCCGTGACCCAGCAATAGATAAAGCGGAAGAAAATGGATATTGGGATGTTATTGTATTGTTGCCTTGTTGTTGCCATTATAGCAGTCATATATTTAGATGTATGGCATGTATTATTGGGTTAAGTGTCATTCAATTTTCTACAATCATATCTGTTTCAATTTCTTCTTTATTATCCATTTTCTTCCGCTTCATCCATTGCCGGGTGGCGGGGGAAACAGTCTAAGCAGAGACGCCCGGACTTCCCTATCCACACACACTTCTTCCTTATTATTCTATAGAAAATAACCCATTTAGCCACATATTAGCAAACAGGCTATCAACATGAGCCAACCAATAGAATAGAGAAAAGCACTAGAATTAAAGTGAAAGATATGTGAGTATAAAGTATAGCTGGATATTTTATAAAATAGAATAAAATCTGAATAGATCAGACGGCCCTGGCCAGAGTTGTACTGTGAGCTCTTTGTCCAGCTTTAAGTGCTGTATGAAACTTCAGCACTTGTTCAGAATAACAGCTAAGTAAACGTCTCTCACTCACCAGGGCAGAGTCCACACAGACTGATGGATAAAAGACTTTATTGGTCCCTTAAGGAGGAGAATCCGTCTCCCACTGACATCGTCTCAGCTCTTTTAAAACTCACCACAGCCTCCATCCTTTATCCTGTGTCTCTAGATTTAACATCCCAATGAAAAAAGTCATCAAAAAGCAGTGACTATCTATATATTTTTCTTATAATCCACTTTGAGCTGAGATTAGCGTGTATGTGCGAGAGGCGGGACTACATCTGCTCATCTACATCTAATTTTGCATTTATTTATTTGTGCACTTGAGAAAACATAAATTAGAGAAGTGATTTAGAACTAATGAAAACTAACCAAATGTCAGCTATTTTCAGACCATCAGATGAATGAAGGTCCGAGATACTGTTGTGGAGAAGTTTAAAGCCGGATTTGGATACAAAAAGATTTCCCAAGCTTTAAACATCTCAAGGAGCACTGTGCAAGCAATTATATTGAAATGGCAGGAGTATCAGACCACTGCAAATCTACCAAGACCCGGCCGTCCCTCCAAACTTTCATCTCAAACAAGGAGAAGACTGATCAGAGATGCAACCAAGAGGCCCATGATCACTCTGGATGAACTGCAGATAACTACAGCTGAGGTGGGAGAGTCTGTCCATAGGACAACAATCAGTTGTGCACTGCACAAATCTGGCCTTTATGGAAGTGGCAAGAAGAAAGCCATTTCTCAAAGATATCCATAAAAAGTCTTGTTTAAAGTTTGCCACAAGCCACCTGGGAGACACACCAAACATCTGGAAGAAGGTGCTCTGGTCAGATGAAACCAAAATCGAACTTTTTGGCCACAATGCAAAACGATATTTTTGGCGTTAAAGCAACACAGCTCATCACCCTGAACACACCATCCCCACCTCAGCTGTAGTTATCTGCAGTTCATCCAGAGTGATCATGGGCCTCTTAGCTGCATCTCTGATCAGTCTTCTCCTTGAGATGTTTAAAGTTTGGGAAATTTTTTTGTAGCCAAATCCGGCTTTAAACTTCTCCACAACAGTATCTCGGACCTGCCTGGTGTGTTCCTTTGTCTTCATGGTTCTCTCTGTGCTTTAAACAGAACCCTGAGACTATCAAAGAGCAGGTGCATTTATACGGAGACTTGATTACACACAGGTGCATTCTATTTATCATCATCAGTCATTTAGGACAACATTGGATCATTCAAAGATCCTCACTGAACTTCTGGACTGAGTTTGCTGCACTGAAAGTAAAGGGGCCGAATAATAATGCACGCCCCACTTTTCAGTTTTTTATTTGTCAAAAAAGTTTAAATTATCCAATAAATTTCGTTCCACTTCACGATTGTGTCCCACTTGTTGTTGATTCATGACAAAAAAATAAAAATGTTATATCTTTATGTTTGAAGCCTGTGATGTGGCGAAATGTTGAAAGGTTCAAGGGGGCCACATACTTTCGCAAGGCACTGTAATCACATTTTGTTAGCAGAAATGTTGTATAATATTGGACACATGCAAATGATTTGTTTTAATATCTCAGTTTTGTCTGGAAATGTTTTGCACTAAGACGTCCTCAAGCGGCTTCACTTAAGCTTTATCTGGGTCAATTTTTAATGAAGCCTCATTTTGTGTTTATTCATGAAACCACTTGGCCAATTAGCGATCAAACTATGTCTTAGGTCCCGCCTGTCTTATCTTTCGTCTAAAGTATTTTGCAGTTGTTCCCATGATGGTTGCGTTCATGACCTGACTGTGCATTTCTCACTGGACTTTGTTTGTGTGTGTGTGTGCGTCCCAGGATGTGTGACACCGGGGAGGGTCTGTTCACATTCCAAACCCGAGAGGGAGAGATGATCTACCAGCGTGTCCACTCCGCCACTCTGGCCATCGCACAGCAGCACGAGCGCATGATGGAGGAGCTGGAGAAGAGCTCCCAGGTACACTGCATTTACACATCATACATAACAACACCGTGATATACACACACACACACACACACATATGTCATTTGAAATAATATCAGAATCTGCCATATAGAACCATATGTGTTCACTGTCACTTCATAGCCACTTTGTCCCAGACCCTCATTCTGCTAAGATGCACTTATGTAAACATACAACTGAAGATTTCTTTCACTAGAATATACAGCATTTATACTTTCTTCTGCATTATACTAAAATTTAGATTCTATTTTATTATAGTTCAGAGTTATTATTCATTTTTCTTGTGCTGTGTGCTCCTCATTCCTACTCTTCTGTAACTTGTGATGCAACACTGACATTTCGCCACTGTGGGACAAACAAAGGATCTTTTAATACACAAACCCATATGACCATGGACAAAACACATAGTTGGGATAGATATGTAGATTAGGGCAACAGTGGCTCAGTTTGCAGAGCATTGGCCTTAGAGCCTAAAGGTTGTGGGTTCGAGCCCATCATGAGACCTTCTCCCCCAACTCCCACTGATGACTGCTGTCGTTGTGTCCTTGGGCAAGACACTTAACCCCACTTTCCCTGAAGCTCCCACTGAAAGATCAAGGCCATAGAGCGGCCATCCTCCTGTGGACTCACACCTGCAGGAGGATCAGTGGGGGGCTGGTGCTATGTGTACTGGGTGCAGCTCTGGCCACCCCTCCGACCCAGAAATGGATTAAGGGGTAGAAAATGGATGGATGGATGGATGTATATTGGATTTGACTCAATATTTTGGCCTTCCCTTGTTTGTTGTGTTTGTTGTGGTCCATGGATGTGATTCTGTAGTGATGAACCGAAGCTCGTCTCATTTACAGAGTAGAAATATCTAGGGTGAAAAGTGCGAAACTTTGAAAGTGAGAAACTTGCACAATTAGTGGATGACTAAATACTCTTATACCCCACTGTATAAGACAACAACTTTTGCTTGAGTAAATCTGTAAAACACCATAAATGGTTGAGTGGTTGCTAGAAGCCAATACCCCAGAAACCACCCACTGTGATTTCAATTGATTTTTCAACTCGTTGACAAGTTCGATGTCTGCAATTAATGTGATGATATAATGTCTTGAGGCCAGTGAACATGGATTTTTTGAAAGAATTCAGCAAATATGTTGGAGAAATTTAGCTAAGACATGCCTGTTAAACTGAATTGCATTGACAGACTGAAACATATCTATACAGTATTATTCATTTCATCTTTCATTAGAATTTTAGTATAGATTTTATTATATTGCCTTGCTCTAACATTGTCCTTGTGTGAAACCTGAATCCTCCATAAGTCTCATCTTATAAAGGCCTGTTCCAAAGACATTTCCGAACATTAAGTGCAGTAATTGGCTCATAATCTCAGTCTGCTGCCAAATGTAGATTCCCCACTATAAACTATAAACTGGAATAAAAAAGAAGCATTTTTAATCTAATAATGAGCAGATCAAAGCACTGATCTTTGAGATTATTACACACGCACCAGATGTGTGTTGCACATGTGTGTGTTGCACAGATGTGTGTTGCAGTTTCGTGCTCAGGCCGACGGGAGATGCTAAACTGAGGTAATGGTGATAAGACGACGATTCAAAATCCACAGAAATATCCAAAAGCGCTCTTCAAAGCAAAAGTTCTTGTTTCCAATTTATTTCATTTACAAAGGCTCTGTGATTCATGACTTCCTTTATTTTATATCAGAATGTGTTTTTCTCCATCGATTATTCATTATGGAAGATGAAACATTTGAATTATGGGCTTCCTGACGGGACAGAAACACTAATTGCTTTTGAATTGTGTGTTTTCTCATTAAGACAGTCTGCATTATTTTTAGAAACTAATCTTCGTGTTAATATATCATATTCCCCACGAGCACACACACACATACACATACACACACATACACGCACATACACACAGAGGACCTTGTCTTTTCGCAGGTTCAAAAACACACTTCTCCCTCAGGCCTCAGCTCAGGTCTCTGCTGAATCATTTTGGACCAGGAGCAGCTGACATCTGCCTCTTTTTCTCCTCGCTTTCTCCTCTTCATCACTTTCTTCTTTACTATGACATTGATAATGCATTTAAATACAAAGACAGGAAAAAAAGACCAAGGAAAACAGCACAAGCATGCAAATGATGTATCAAACTGTGAGAGATATCTTTGCATTTTTGAAGGGCAGTGCGAAGAAATACATGTGCAAAGGAGACAAGAGTTTTCTAATCATCTACTGTATCAGCAACTTGAGTATCTGCCAGAGCTGATACGATACATACTGCGATACACATAATATCGTATAAGCAGAGGTCTTTCAAATCAATACGATATATTTGTTAATTATACAATTCAGTCAACATTAACTAACGCACAGCACGCTTTCCTGAATGGTTTTTAATTGATGCATTTATATTTAATCTATTTAAGATGAACAGTTATTATTGTTCAAATATCAAAATATAATCTATCTTTATTTATTTTCTTTTGCATCTGAAAAAAAAAAAAAGTTGTACCGTGTATGTACCGTTAAAATACTGTATAATTATAAACAGATTGATGAGGAGATTGGCCTGTCAGTCTACAATAACAAGCCTTCATTTATTCAAAAACATCTACCAAAGAATATGTTATACAGAAGTAATCCTTTGGTCAAAATATCTCCATAATAGAAAAAATATTAAACTACTACTGCAAATGAAGTGCTAAAAACTAATTTTTTGGTTTACAAGTAGTATCTTAAAAACAAAAAAAATCCCCAAATTAAATATTTAAATTCATAATTCTCAAAGAGTATTTAATGTTCTCCTCAAGTCTTATACAGCGGCCTAATGGCCTCCGATCACATTTCCACAGTCTGTGACATACAGTATATGTACATGCAATACCACAACCACATCATACTTTTGGGAAATCTTCTCATGCACCATAATCTCAAGGATCATTCTACACTGAACAAATTATAACCAATATTGTTCCACAGGTGGGGTGGATTATCTCAGCAAAGAAGAAGTGCTCATGAACACAGATTATGACAGTCTTGCGAATAACATTTTGGAGAAATGTTTTTTGTGTATGTAAAGTTTTCCGTGTAGATCCTTGAGTTCAGTGAATAAAAAATGGGCGTTAACAGTTGACCTACACAACCCACAACCTCATATTGGAACTATTTGTTTGTATCCTCTCCTTCTATCATGTCTATTATTTATTCATACGGTCTCGCCTTGTGCCGGATGAGCCGACCATATGGCTCTGCTCTTGGACCTCTTCATGCTGGCGTCTCTCCAAGTGCATTATTTACCTCCAGCCTCATAAATCACATAAACACCTACATAAAACTGAACACTCGTGTTGAAAAACAGCTGTGGCTTTTCTCGTATTTGCCGACTTCCACCATCTCGACATTTGGTGGTTGTATATTATTCCTTATTAATCTCTGTTTGAGTCGCAGCAAACTCACCAGATTTGGAACATAAGGCACAAAGCTGACGGCTCATCGGTATGAAAAGAATTATTGTTGCGGATGAAAAACTTACATCGAGCATTTGGTTCAATTATTTCCCTGTTTTTTCTTCACTATTTCTTCAATACTGTCTCTTTTATTTTCATTTTCCTACAGCATGAGGTAGATATACAAACAACCTTTATCTCACTATCCAAATAACAATATATAGTCAATGCATATATGCAAGTGTGTCATGTTCATATATTCATGTATTAATCAGATGTAAAATAATTCTAAAATGACCTCCAAAAGTACAAAGAATACAAACATATCACTTCGTACAACTCTACAATTTTCAAATCAACATACACAATATTATTAATACTCTTATAAGGCCCTGAATGCGTTTTAATGTTGGGGTAGCTAACACTTTTGTTTCATATATAAAACCTTTTTCATAGAAAACATGGTAAGAATTAGCTATCACTATTCAGCATCACTATTTGATGCTGATTGGCTGAATGAACGAGGTCCTTTCTTTTTCACTTCTCCGTCTGAAAAAGTTGTGGCAGAGGCCAGAAATCACATGAAAAAACTAATTCCATCCATCCATTTTCTTCCCCTTAATCCATTTCTGGGTTGGGGGGTGGCAGTCAGAGCTGCTCCCAGTTCACAGAGCACCAGCCCCTCACTGATCCTCCTGCAGGTGGTGAGTCCACAGGAGCTGAGATCTTTCAGTGGGGGCTTCAGGCAAAGTGGGGTTAACCCATTTAGCCCCACCGGCAACTATAGTTGCCGAAGTTTATCATTGTCATTTTCTACTCACAGAAAAAAAAATCAAAGGTATTGATGCAGGTTTTTCCACTTATATGCTAGTAAACAACTTAGACAAAGGTATAGTTTAAAGAGTTATGGGCATGTTTCTGTGCGCACATATGATGGTGGGCACATATGATGTCACTAAAGGAAAGGATCTACTAACAGTGCCTCATAATTTACTTATTTAGAATTTTAGAATGGTGTACAATGGCTAATTTTAAACCTCTTAGATTACTCTTCACATCTAAATAGAGTATTCACAGGTATTCAAAGACTATGTCTGTAGGATTTTGATATAGCTGTAGCTCAGACCCTCCTCCAGCGTCATGGAGTAAGACATGGATGTCCAAACTTTTAGTGAGAGGGCCACACAATTATAAAGCAAATGTAAGTAAATAACAATCGAGTCAACGACTGGATTCCAGAGTGTCTGACATTTATAGCAAGATATAGCATGACTGTATTGGTGGAGCTTAAGTTGGTTGGATGACACTGTCAAAGTGCCTCAATGGCGACTTTGTGCAGCAGAGGGCCACAAAAATTTGCCCGGGGGCCTGAGTTTGGACATTCCTGGAGTAAGACGAAGTGGGCATGGCTGATGCAGGTTCTACAACCTCAACCACTGGCCTGTAACAGCGGTAGCAAGTACAAGTACAAGTACAAGTGATGCAAGTTCTGTGAGAAATGTGTCGTGCCGCTACAAGTGGAGTGCTTCAAGTATCATACCGCGTGAGTGTGTGTAAAGGGCAGAATACATGTATATAACATGGAAATCTACAGTATACTTGAAATTACCCTTGGCATCAGTCCTTTTTATTTTTTTGCTGTTGGGAAAAAGAAAAGCAATAGAAAGTATGTGTAGGCTATTGCCATTTTTTGCCAGTTTTTGGATTGCCAATTGGAAATTTCCCTTTTTGAAAACATTCGTTTAGTATTTTAGAATAAAGAAAACATTCAAGTTGTTTGAGGTTTTAGATTTTAAAAAGGAGGAATCGATCACAATCAGTTTGGCTTTCTGGGTTGATTATATCCAGTTATATTATCCATTATGACCTACTGACAAGCTATGTGCCCACCAGCCCTAAGAATGCTATTTTCTTCAAGGCAAGGTCCAAAATTGTAAAAAAAAAAATACATTTCCTGATTCAAGGGAACACAACTAATAACATTATATACATTAACACTCTGAAAACATTTTGGGCACAAATGGGTTAAGTGTCTTGCCCAAGGACCCACCGACAGCAGACATCAGTGGGAGTCGTGAGTAGTCTAGTAAAAATTAGTTATAGAACCAAAATGTTTTGAGAGTGAGATAGTTCGATGGATTTTATGGATATTAGTTCAATTGTTGTGGTTTTAAAGTGAATTACCTCAGCTCCTTTTCTCTTCAATATTTTCCGCGTTGAGCCTTCCAGGAGGTGCTATTGTGTTGTCGAGTGCTCTTTCTCTGTGTTATGAATGAATGCGTCACCAGACTGTCCTTCTCTGTCTGCCTCAGATCCTCTCCAGAGAAACGCTCACCAAGTCCATCTCTCTGCCACGCAGCGTCTACTGGCAGCACATCACGCGTCAGAACAGCGTGGGAGATCTCTACAGTTACCAAGGTACAGCACACTTCATTATCATACGCTTGCTTCGTCAGTGATGAGACCCAGAACACTGGCCAACACACACAGGCAAGGCTGTGATCAGACTGGAGGGTCGGCCTTCACGCTGGTTACGTTATTTTATTATAAGACTGTTTGTAAGATAAATAGTAGGGGCTGTCAAATCTGTTTTAATTGTCAAATACAGATGTGTGTCTGTAATTGGAGTAGATAATAACGGAGTAAGAATGTGGAGTGATGTTGATGATCAGCTAAAGCAAATTAACACATTTTCAACATTTCAAACAACTTTAAAATGTGAAACAATTAATTATTTGTTGCCTTAAAAAATTAAACGAAAAAGTGAAAAAAAAGGTTTTGGCAAATATGTATGTTGAGTTTTAAATCAGTATGTAATATTGTGACAAAGCAGGTTCCTTTGTCCCTTTTAATGCCACTTTTAGCCATGTATTTTGTAGCTGTTGAAGTAGGTGTGTCTCAGACAGCCATTTTGTTTTGTGTGCCAACCCATGTGGGCGGAGCCACAATGTTAAAGGCTCACAGGTGAACCTCGTCAGGGGAGTCACACCCAAGGGACAGGATTGCTTGTTGTGCAAAATAAATCTTTTGGCAACTTTGAAGGTGACTTCTGCTGTCTCACTTTGACACTCGGGCCAGCTTCCCCACATATGGTGGCAGCGGTGGGATCCAGGCCAGTGAGAGGCAGGAGAACAGGAGAGACAACACAACACCCCAAATGGAAGTCGACACAATGAGGAAAGAAACATGGAGGAAGATTTTGCTCACCAGCCAGAGGTGCGGAAAGCAGTGAAGAGTTTGCAGAGAGATGACACCTGCTGAGAGGATGGCATCTTGTGTGGAGCTCTACTGTGGAAGGAGCTGGAGTTGTTTTGGCTTGCAGAACCTATTTTTGAGTTTGGCCGGATGAGGCTGAAGATTGCAGCGGATTCTGGTGGTTGCAATGAGCGGCTGGATTGAAGCTGTGGAGCGGTGTTCCGGTACAAGTGTGTGCAGATGGAATCACCTGAGGAGTTCGGACAGTGTTCCGGATTGAGGACCCCACTGTGGGGTAATGTTCAAGAGGCCGGAATTGTTGGGTCTGCTTGAGACTGTGCTGGGGTGAATTCTTCCAAGAACTGAGGTACTGTCAGAGGAGACCACGCTCTTGACAAGAGGAGCATCTGGGACTTTTGAAGTACCTTCATTATTTAAAAATGTTTCATCTGTATTGTATGTAAATGTAAATGTATTGACTTCAGTCTGTGACTCTGGGGAGTAACAGTTATAAGAGGGGGGGTGTGTGACAAAGCAGGTTCCTTTGTCCCTTTTAATGCCACTTTTAGCCATGTATTTTGTAGCTGTTGAAGTAGGTGTGTCTCAGACAGCCATTTTGTTTTGTGTGCCAACCCATGTGGGCGGAGCCACAATGTTAAAGGCTCACAGGTGAACCTCGTCAGGGGAGTCACACCCAAGGGACAGGATTGCTTGTTGTGCAAAATAAATCTTTTGGCAACTTTGAAGGTGACTTCTGCTGTCTCACTTTGACACTCGGGCCAGCTTCCCCACAAATATGTATTGTAGGTTTCCTCCAGGTGCTCCGGTTTCCCCTACCACTAAACATACGCAAAGGGAAAAATCCTCCAGCTCTGGGCCTGATAAAGAATCTGGTGAGGGGTCCCAGGAGCTGAATTACGATAATCACTGCTTGTGGCATCGCAGGATGGGTCAAATGCAGAGGAAAAAGTTCATTACGGGGATAAGCCACAACATGCATCTCGCAAACTTGTACGAAAATCCCTTGCATAACTTTTTGACTGTTTGGGCTGAGAGCTGATTGGTTAGGGTTTTTCTTTTTGATTTCTGTCTGAAAAAGCCAATATGTGGCTTTTAATACATAGTTAAACGTTATTGTGGTTTGAAATTTAAAAATGTAAGTTTTGGTCACATCCTGGTCTTTTACTAGGTTAAAGAAAATGCAGATAAAAGATTGCAAAGTATAGTGAAGCCTCAATGGAGATAAACAGGTGGCGTATACACTACTGTACCTGCAGAGAAGTTTGTCGCGCACTTTTAATGAATACTAAAGATCCTGCCGATGACACTGCTCCTCCTCAGCCTAAAACGCATTAATGAATCATGAATAACAAAGTTTCCGCAGGCGTGACCTATAGTCCAGCCCACACTGATCATTATTTACGAAGCCAGCATCTGTAAACTACCCTAAACTTCGGAGCTCTCTAGTTCCTCTCCTCATCCATCACACTGGCACCTCGCTCTCCCCTCCCACTCCCTTTGTGCGCAGGGCCGTCCCGTCTGAAACAAGCCCACTGTTAGATTTCCTCCCTTTTCCCATGAATAAATTGAATGCTTCAGTGTGCCGGAGGACAAGGGAAAGGTCTCGTCACACAAGCGGAGAGACAAGGTGATCCCAGGGACTTGACACCGGTTTAGGCAGAGCAGTGCAGTGTCAGGGCATGGCCTACAGAGGGAGCTAAGGAGCAGGGAGATTTGAAAATGTCATTTCCAGAAAACGATTAGAACAAAATTGGATAAAGGTCTGGGAAAATTGGAAACGGTTTGAACATATTGTGGATTCTGAACGGTGTCAAATGGAACAATGTAACTATACAGATACAGGACTGACAAAAGCCTCTTGTTAAGATTTTTTTATATTTTTTATATAACAGAACAGGCTTGACCCCTTTCAATGCGCTTAAAATAGAATTGCACTGGATTTCTTGAGAGCCAGCCTTTTTGTAGCTTACATATTCATACAATAGAAACCAGGATTTTACAAACGTGATCAAAAATGTGTATTTATCCCCTAAAATCACAGATAACTTATACATTTGGATGAATAATTACAGAACAACTTTATCTGTGTAATAGTCAAAAACCCTGACAGCTAGTAGTGCAAACTTTTAGCAATTATTTCAGGGTCTTTTTTACTTTATGTATGTAACTGAAGGATTATAAAAATGCAATCATGGCACGCTTTCCTTAACTTTGATGATTTTGTGAATGATGTGTGTTAATGAGGTAGTAGTAACATCTTGACTTATGCAGCCAGCGGAAATTCAATTTGGTAGACGTCAGCCAAAGGTAACCCCTCCAGGCCGGTTCTCATCCCCAGCCTATCGCACTGCAAACGCCCCCTTCCAATCACCGTACCGGCCAGGCAAGCCGCTTAAAAGCGGAGAAACTCCCACTCTTGGCCTTCTCGAAGCCTCGCAAGCCCTCGAAGCCTTGCAGAGAATCGTCTGGAGGAATCGTTTTCGTCTACTCACGCTACTCGGCGCGACCCTGGCGTCCTCCGTCTGGCTGCTTGTGGTCTGCTCCTCCTCCGCGTCCCTGCACTGGTCTGCTCCTCCTCCGCGTCCCTGCACCGGCTGTGGTTCGCATATCTCCACTGCTCTCCTCTGCGGGCTCTTTCTGCGGGCTGCTCCGCGGGGCCCTCCGCGGGTTCTGTGCGGCTCGTTCCTCGTGGTCTGCTGCCGCGCGCAGAAGGTCTGGCGGTGCCGCGTTGTCCCGTTGCTTTTCCCAAGTCTCCTGGCATACTGTTAAACAACCATGGGCATGGTTCTCTGACCGCCGCTGCTGCCGGTCCCCGCCGCCGTTCCTACTGATGCCTGATCCCGCCGCCGCTGTTCCTGCTGCCGCTCCTGCTGCTGCCTGTTCCTGCTGCCGCTCCTGCTGCTGTCTGTCCCTGCTGCCTGCTCCTGCTGCTCCTACTACTACTACACGTGCCGCTGCTGCTGTTCCTGCCGCTGCCGCTCCGCAGGCTCCCAGGCTGCACCTGTCTCTACGGCTCGGCTCTTTCAGACACGTATGTAACCTGGCTCACGGAGACAAGCGGCGCACGCTGGCGTGACACGTCTGTTGTTCGTATGAATCGCCTTGTGGTGCTGCTGCTCCCGCTAATGCTGCTTCTGCTGCTTCATACTGCTACCGCTACTGCTGCTACTGCTGCCGCTGCTGCTTCAATCAATCAATCAAAGTTTATTTGTAGAGCGCCTTTCATACACATGGCAACACAAAGCGCTTCACAGTCCACATCACAAATCATCACATAAAACAAACACCAGAATCACAATTAAAACATTAAAATCACACAAAAGATTAAAACACAATTAAAACATTAAAATCACACAAAAGAATAAAACCATTAAAACTTTCAAAATTACACAAGAAATTTAAAAAAATAAATAAATGACAGCAGTGCATTAAAAATGGAGATAAAATCCTTCAGTTGTATGCACAGGCAAACAGAACAGTCTTTAACCTGGATTTGAACATTGACAGAGTAGACGCCTCCCTCACATTTTCAGGGAGATTGTTCCAGATCTTAGCTGCATGGATCTGAAACGCAGCCTCCCCATGTTTGGTTCTCACTCTGGGCACCAGCAGGAGGCCAGTCCCTGTGCTCCTCAGAGTCCGGGCCGGTTCATATGACACCAACATGTCACTAATGTATTCTGGTGCAAGGCCATGGAGAGACTTGTACACAAGCAGAGCCGTTTTAAAATCTATTCTTTGAGCCACAGGAAGCCAGTGCAGAGACCTGAGGACCGGACTAATATGGTCATACTTCCTGGTTCCTGTCAGGACTCTAGCTGCTGCATTTTGGATGTACTGCAGCTGCTTACAGGTCTGTTTGGACAGACCTGTAAGCAGGCCATTGCAGTAGTCTAGCCTGCTGGAGACAAATGCATGGACAAGAATCTCCAAGTCTGCCCTGGACACTATATTTCTAACTTTGGCAATGTTCTTCAGATGGTAAAAAGCTGTTGATGTTATTGATTTTATGTGGCTATTGAAATTTAGGTCTGAGTCCAGTATTACCCCCAAATTTCTGACCTTGTCTGAAGGAAGTAGGGAGAGAGACTGAAGTTGACAAATGACGCCCTCTCTTTGTTTCTGGGGACCAAAGACAATGATTTCGGTTTTGTCTGTATTTAGCTGGAGGAAATTATTTTGCATCCAGTCACTGATCTGTT